CCTTTAAAGTGACCATGCCAGGTAACCGATTAACTCAAGTTCCACAGAAAAAATAAGATGTGCCTTTTATGTGTATGTGCTGGGTGGAGTGTTCCTTGAGTCTGAGGAGTTCTTGGCAAGTAGGTTAAGGTTAGTTTGTTGGAAAGAGCAAGGACTGGAAACTGAAGACCTAAGCACACTCCTGGCTGGGCTACTTACCAGTTAAGAGGTAAATCTTTTCTGAATCTTAGTATTCTGGTTTGTACAATAGGGAAAATAGAAATTCACCTTGTTTTTCAGATAGTCTGTCTGCAATAATATTGTTAAACAAAGAGAAGTGATATATATAAGCTTTTTATAAATTGACAACTATAACATACATATAAGGGATTTTCAATCCTTAAAAATTTAGGGTTTTTAACTCATCAAATATTGGATACTTGCTCTTCCCAATAGTCTGTGAACCTGGCAGGGGTAAGATTTATAAGTAGCTTGAGCCTAAGAGGTTTACATGTTCAAATAAATGTATGTTTCTTTTTAAAATCAATGCAAAGAACTGTCATAAACCTGGCAAATGGTAATTTGCTCATGATAAATAAGGGGGCGGGCTGGAAATTACATGCATAAACAAACAAGTGCCATAAACAAACAAGGGACTTAGAATCACAAGAATTTGAACTGGAAGACGAAACTTGACTTTGTTACTCCAAAAAACATACTCAATTTCATACAATAACCAGAATGACGGTCAAGTCTCCCAGAGGTTGTGGAAGTAAGGAAAGTGATGAGAAAGTGAAGAAAATTCATAATAGCTGAAGCCTCAGTGTGAGGGTGTGGGAAGATGATGTAGTGGAAAGAAATGAGGCTTAGAGATAAAAGCAGAAGATAAAATGTGGAAGGGTCTTATGTAGTATCGTGGCTGGTATTCAAGAAAGGCTGGTAGAGAATGGTAGAACAGAAGAATGAAAGCAAAAGGACACTTCAGAAGAGGAATGAATAGAATCAATGATGGCAGCAGTAGCAGGGAAATGAGGTGAGAAGAGAGACAAGTTGTGATGAGTTGTAGGTTTTGCACAGAGTCTGGGGTGATACTGACAAGAAGACATGCAAATGGAAACATCCAATGATCTGAAGTGCTGGCAAGTGACAAAAGAACAGCGAAGTTAGACAGTCCACTTAGGTATGGGATTAGAGTAATGGGAGCAAGGATGTATAAGGATACAAGTCTAAAAAAATGTATAGAAGTCTAAGGAGTCACCTTCAGGGCTGACCTCAGTCTGGAGATGTATATTGTAATTTTAAAAAATGTGAGAGGGAAGAGTCAGAGTTAGAGGAGATCTGAGATTAGAGAGTAAAATAAAATCCATCAAAAAGGATGCTTTAGGAAGATGGGTGATAAACAAATATGGTCTTACATTAGTGTGCCTTCAACTGTGTGCTTTGGCAGGTAAATTATAGTAATGTGCATTTTGGCAACAACATAGGTGGTGCAGTATGAGTTATAAAGTGACTTTAAATGGATTACAGATGTTTCTTAAATAGTATTTTCTAAAAAAACATACCTTAGAAAATGACTACAACTTCCCTTTCCCAATTTCTCTATCAATAAAGTAGAAATCACTTTAAGTTTAATGAGTTCCTTTCACACTCTCACTTTAAGAAAGGTGATTACTGTCATCCTAATGTGATAAATGGAAAAGGTCCATTGAAGTTACATGATATGGTTGGGTCACCTTTGTCATGGAGGTGGCAGCTGCGAGGACTGAATTTAACATTCTGATTTCTGTCCTTTGAAGCAAAAACCAAAACCAAAATTAAACACTGACTCAGATCTTAAGAAATAATTTTTGAAAAAAAAATTAAATCTTTTTTTTTCATTTAAATATTTCTCCTTGATATCTGTGCTATTAAAAAGCGAGAAACTTCTTATAATAATTATATCCAATAAAGGAAAGACTGTGATTGAGAAAAAGTAAAGGAGATTATAATTTTTCAACCCTGACAATTTCAAATACTATCAAAGTAAAGGGAAGTGTGCTCATTTAAAAGTTTTAAAAATTGGGCCTCCCTGGTGGTGCAGGCAGTTGAGCGCCGTACTGTGAAGCTGTCAGAAACCTCTGCAGTGCAGGTTCGATCCCGGCTGGCCAGCGAGAATCCCACATGGTGTGGCAGACCTCTCCTGTCTTGCCTGCTGCTCCCCTCAGCAGTGTATTTCAGTCAGTCTGCCTGTTCTGTTCCCCGCCCTGTCTCTGGTGAATCCTCTCACCCTCCCGCGCATCTGGCCTGTACCCCAGTTCTTGCATAAATAAATAAATCTTTAAAAAAAAAAGTTTTAAAAATCAATTTTAGAAGTTTAGATATAAGAACAAAGAGGATCTATCTTACACAACAGTGAAACTAATTAGAATAACAACTAAAAGGGGTGGGGCCAGACTAGATGTCCCCTAAATTCCCAGATCATTTCAAAACATCTTGGCTGGGAATTATAAATGGCGATGTTTGCGGTGGGTTGGGGGGGACATTGTAAACTACTACTGCATTTAAGCATGTCATTATTTGAAAGCCCTTCCTCTGTATAGATCATCTGACAAGCAGATTTTTAGTTCCCAGCTCTATACTGACTAGAGGTTATGCCAGTCTAAACTTGTGGCCCCATGATACAGCTTCAGAGTAGCAACTCAGGCAAACAAGAGTAACAGGTGGCTGAGATCACTAACAAGGAAGAAAGGAATTTTCACAGAACTGGAGAGGGCCTAGAAATCATTTGGTCTAATTTGTTATGTTTTACAGATGAAGAAATTGAGACCCTGAGACAGAAATACTGTGTTCAAGTTAACACAAGTCAGTATCAGAGGATGGATTTGAACCCAGGTCTTTTATTCTATGACAACCCTTGTATTCTACCATAAAAGAAGTTTAGGGCAAAAGGAGGACTCAGGGCTCCCTTTCTTCAGGAACAAAATAGAATATGTTTGGGTCCATACTTTTTTTGGGGGGAACCTAAAAGGCTGTCATGTTGTCTTTATCCAGTCCCACCTCATACTCGGATAGACACGACTTCAAATTCTGAAAACAGATGCTCACACATTAAACTGGAGTTTATAGAAACACAAGTAGAAGGAAATACGACATTCTTTTCCTTGCAGAGAATATTTACTTGCAACTCAGGATAATTTGTCACATGTATTAGCTACTTACAACTGTCACTCACATGACAGAACTTATATAAGGAGGCTAGAAAAGAGGCATGTAGAGGCTTTACGTTAACACTGGATTCTTGGGCAAAAAGGAAGGAAAGAGAGCCTCATTAACAGAACAATTCAAGATAGTATTTCCTAAGATTCCATCTGCATTCATAGCTTCAGAGTCAGAAATTGATGTGTTTCTGTCAACTTTGTCTATGGAAGGCTGACATTATGGTTAACATTCCAGTTCATAGTTGTATTTAACTTCTCAGTGAAATGGCTTTTTCTGCCTTTTATTATTATTTTAAATTGTTATTTATTACATTTATGCTTCCCCTTGTGGGCAAGATGTGGAAGGATTCAAGAGTTGCAAGTACTCAAAATTTGGAGACATCCAGAATACAGCTAGGAAGTTGTTCTGCAAGAATCTGCCTGTCATTCACATCTTTATCACTGGAAGTTTTGATACCTATACCTGCTAGTGTAATAACCTCCCCCCATTTATTTTATTTTATTTTTTTAATATTTATTTATTTATGCATACAAGATCTGGGGTACAAGCCAGAGATGCGGGGGGGGGGGGTCGGGGGGTGAGAGGATTCACCAGAGACAGAGTGGGGAAAAGAATGGGCAGAGTGACTGAAATACACTGCTGAGGGGAGCAGCGGGCGAGACAGGAGAGATCTTCTTCAGTATGTGGGGTGCTCTCTGGCCGGCTGGGGATTGAACTCGTGCTGCAGAGGCTGCAGATTGCTTCATAGTGCGGTGCTTAACCCCTTGTGCCACCAGGGAGGCCCTCCCCCCATTATAATGTCCAATAAGTGTCAAGGAAAAGGGAAACCAAAACATAATCTAAAACCAATCATTTAGGCTAAAATAATCGCAATGTACAATGGGCACAAATATTTCTTTGCACCTTTTGTATCATTATCCAAAAATGTATGAAGTCCTTGAAACTAGAAATTTACTTTTAGTCTCTTTTTTTTCATAGGTTCAAGGGTTTCAAGGGTTTTGCCAGTATATTAAAAATCCAATCAATATTACTTCATTAAGTAACTTTATTTGGTACAGACTTGTTAGGAAATAATAGGGGAGGGCATGTTATTTATACAAGTTGGTTGCTTCAATCAACTCAAAACTAGACTTAGTCTAGTTTTAAAATGAAAGTAGACTATGAGATTCTTTTAGAAAGGTGGGAAAGGTGAAAATACCAGTTATCTCTCTCTCTTTTTTTTTTTTTATAGAGGCATGCTTTATTTATTTATTTTATTTGTTTGTTTTTGTTTATACAAGCACTGGGTACAGTCAGAAGCGCGGGAGGGTGAGAGAATTCACCAGAGCCAGAGCAGGGAGCAGAGCAGGCAGAAGGACCGAGGTACACTGCTGAGGGGAGCAGCGGGCGGCAGGAGAGGTCTGTGGGCCATGTGGGACCCTCCTCCGGTGGCCGGGGAGCAGCCGGGGATCGAACCGGCGCCTCAGAGGCTGCGGGCAGCTTCGCAACCCAGTGCTCAACCACTGCACCACCAGGGAGGCCCCCAGTTATCTCTTAGTGGCTTACTGTGGGTAAGCCTCTTAACCATGACTGGGTGTGGCAATGGTTTGTGCCTGGATGGCATAGAGACAGCCACCAAGTAGAGACTAGGCCTTGATGCTTTACTGCAACCTCAGTCCTCTGAAGGGAGGGCTGAGCAGCAGAGGGAGAGTGACTCTGGAAGGAAATCAAGCTGATTTCAGATCCTGTCCTGGGTCCTTCTCCTGGCCACCCGTCCACCCCAGGTCCCCCGCACTCCCACTCCGATTCTGAGTTGTGAGAACATGGCCCTTAAGCTCACTTACTTGGCAGCAGCATCCTTTCTCAACTGTTCGTGTTTCATGAGGAGATTTTTCCGGTCTCGGAAAGCTTTTCTGACCTTGTACCCTTTGTAGACAGCTTGGATTTTGAAGGCAGCGATGTCCTGTATAGCTGCGATGGACAGGGCTCCACGTTCCAACATGAACTGGATCACTTCATGGCGCTCACCAAGCAAAGCATAGTCAAGGGGAGTGTATCTGGGGCAGGAAGATTTTTTTTTTTTACATTTTGGAATGTAATGCAAAGCACATTTAAACCAACAATATTGTGCAGCAGAAGCAATCCTCATTCTAAAATGTGGAATATTGTTCAGGCAAAACTATCTATTCCAGAGCTGTCTTTTTTTGCCCTCAGGGGCACAGAAAAAAAGGATGAAGCTGCAGTCAGGTGCTTTCTGCTGCCCACTGGGTCAGTTCCTGAGTTTTGCTCACTGGCTCAGAAACTGGGACCTGGGTAGAACCAAGATCACTTTTCCTCTTTTTCATGTGCCAAATAGTTCCCTCTACATGCCTGGAAAAGTACTGCAAATAATGGTCTGTGAGATTCAGAAGCCATGATTGCTGATTGTTAATGCCTATGAAATAAAAAAAAAAAAACAAAAAAAAAACCCTCCAAATATGTGAAGGTGGGCCCTTTAAATCACTGCAGGAAGAGTGGGTTATATAATAGTGTTGGGACAACTTAGTAGACTGTCTGGAAGAAAAGATTCTTATATCACGTTTTATACCAAAATGAATTCTGGATGAAGAAAAGATCTAAATATAAAAAAAGGAATCATGAAAATACTAGAAGGAACCATGGAAGATTAAAAAAAATATATTGGCGTGGGAAGTCTTTTCCTAAAAAAGAAAGATAAGGGCCACCCTGGTGGTGCAGGGGTTAAAGTGTCAGTACTATCAAGTTATCACCAAACACTGCAGCAAGAGTTCAGTTCCCCGCCAGGGAGCTGACCCACATGGCGCAGCAGACCTCTCCTGACTCACCCACTGCTTCCCTCAGCAGTGTATCTCAGTAGATCTGGCTGTTCTCTCCACTGTGTCTCTGGTGAATCCTCTCACCTTCCTCTCCCCTGCACCTTTGACCTACATCCAAGTTCTTGTAATCATGCATAAATAAAAATAAATCTTTAAAAAAAAAAAGATAAAAAACTCAGGAACCAAAGAATTGATAATTCTTAGCTACATGCAAATAACAAAATCTTGTAGAACAGAAATAAAGACAAAAGATAGTTCGTATATCAGGAAATACTAATGGCTCCTAAACATACAGAAATATGTTTACCCTCACCCATTTAAGAGAAATACAAACACAGTATGAGAGAGCCTTTTAATCTAATTATCAGATTAGCAAAAATCAGGAATTTTAATAACACACTGTTCTGGTACTGTTCAGTTCTATTTATTAAGGCAATGTTAATTTACATCACAGTATATGTCTCAGGGGTACAGGTTTACTCCTCTACAAATGTATGTGATTTTAGCATGCCTACCACCAAAGCCCCAGTAATTCTCCGTGAGACACTCTCCTCCTCTTTTTGGTAGCCTTCACCATAGGCCAATGTGCCCTTTGCCTTCCTGTTTTCATCCTTTCCTCTCTCCTTGCCCCCCTCCACCTTCCTCCTGTAGGCCTCGGAACTACATTCATCTTTCAAGGTGGATACATGATTAGATAGAGAAAATCACCTAATGATTATAGAAAAGGAAGGGTCTCTCTTCAATCTCACCTAACAGTCATATTAAGTCATAAAAGGAAGAGGTTTCCAGTATGAGCAAAGGGTGGTTTGGTTACTTTGGTAATTCCCAAATGCTAAAATTAAGGAACCCCCATTTAGAACAGCTACATTTGCCACTCCTGTTCAGGGACTACAAAGCCATAAATGGAAGTGCCTACATAAACTTTAAAACATTGTTTATAAATACAATCCTTTATACACTCACCACCCAAGTTTAATAGTAAGATTTTTGCCATATTTGCTTCAATTGGTGACTTCATTTATTATTTTTGCTGAAGTATTTTAAAGTAAATGTCAGGACTCCTATTATTTTAAGCTCTCTGTATTGAGTATTCCTCTATGAATAATATGAACACATCCATGATGTCATTAGTGTATTAACAAAATTAAGGAAATTTCTTAGTATCTAATATCTTTTCCATATTCCAATTTCCCCAATTTTCTCAAAAATGTCTTTTTTGTAATTGGTTTATTCAAATTAGTACGATCAGTTCTAGATTCAAGGAGACACAATCCAAATATCTACAAGATTTGAAGACTGAAGTCGATGTCTAATGTTTAAGCACCTGACCATATTGTGATTACTACTAGTGTATCTTTCTTCACCCCAAATTCAATTTAGAAACATTCAGGTACTATGAATATTCCCACTGATGTCAGAGTGCAGCTGTCAGATAGTTATTGACTGAAAGCCAGCAGTAGCTGGCAAAAAATGATGTCTATACAGTGCACATCAAGTGGTTAGTGTCAGCGCACGAGAAGCAAAAATTAGCACTACATTGATGGTAACCAGTCAAGAAATAATGTAGATAAAGACAAGAGACAAAATACAATTGGGCTTGCCATGTGGGAATGGTCTGCTGGGATGAGTGGAATGCCTAAACTGGAATGTCAATAAACATAAAAGGCAGTGCCAAGTTCTGACATTTGTACATCAAGGTGCATTGCTGATGAAACATTAAAGGAGACTGGGATATTGCCACTGTCTCTTTTTATCTATGGATTGGCAAGTACAGTTAGAAGGAATTTTCCTTTGGTCTTTTGGTCTGTAATTAACATATGTTTACTCCAGGAGGCAGTAAGCACCTTAATTCATACACTTACTGGGTCTGAAATTCAAAGTTTAGCATATAAATGGGAACTGAATTACCAAAAAAAAAAAAAAAAGTTGTTTCTTTCAAAAATAGCAGTAAATACTATTATGGAATAAATTCTTTACAGAAATAAATCATCACTAATTCTTAGGATTCTGCACCTTTTCCCTTTTATTTTTTAGTGTTTGAAAGGGAGAAATCTCCAGCTCTCTCACATATCTGCTTTAATGTCAAAATCTGAGCCTCGAGGATTCCTCTTGGCTTTCCAGCTTTCTTAAATGTCCAAACCCTTAAGTCTTCAAGTCTTTTTTTCTCTTGCAGTTGTCATTTGACTATAATAGAATGAGTTCTCTATACAATCACTCCCCAACTAAAACATACTTGTCTAATTTATCTAATTCTGCATTTGCTATAAGAATTCCAGAGGTTTCTGATGCAGGTATAGAGCAGGGTATGTTGTATTGGGAGCCTGAAAACACCAACATGACAATGCAGAAGTTTACCCTTATTTTTTCATACTACATGGCAGCACCCCTGTCTAACTTATAATCCTCTCTTCCTCAAGAGAAATTTCTTGAATATGTAATACATTCCATAGGCATAACTGAATTCCTTGTCCTGGTTATTCAGGAGTCTTCTGACTTACTGCTAGCCATAAATCAGAAGACAGTCCAAGATTCCTCATTTGTGAGCTTTCTATAGACATTAAAAGTTCTGAGTAGCTATAAGATTCCATAATTCTAAATCAATATTGCATGAAAATGGAACTTTTGCTATTTTCTCTGGTTCAGGATTTCTTAGCGAAATGTTTTTTTTTATGACTAGTTATTTCTGAACCAATATCTAAACTGGGATTTTTTTAATCTTCCAGAACGGATGTGAGATGAGCAATAGTATAATCCTTTATCAATAGCTTACCTTTCTTCATTGTTTTCCATCTGATTTGGAAAAGCAGCGAAGTCTAGAAGTAATTTAATGGCATCAAGGTATCCGTTGTTACAGGACCAGTGCAAAGCTGTTCTTCCCTACAAGCAAAATAAATAAATAAATAAATAAATAAATAAATAAATAAATAAATAAACAAACAAACAAAATCAAGTACAGCTGGAGTATGTATTTTTGGCCACAGTTATTTAAAAAAAAATTTTTTTAAAGATTTATTTATGCATATAAGAGCTGGGGTACAGGCCAGAGGTGTGTGTGGGGGGAGTTGAGAGGATTCACCAGAGACAGAGTGGGGAACAGAACAGGCAGACTGACTGAAATACACTGCTGAGGGGAGCAGTGGGTGAGTCAGGAGAGGTCTGCTGCGCCATGTGGGTTGCTCCCTGGCAGGCTGGGGTTTGAACTCGCACTGCAGAGGCTGCGGACAGCTTCATAGGTTGCGTATTAACCCCTTGTGTCACCTGGCCACAGTTTTTAAGGATAACTCAAAAAATATAAACAATTCTGTCTCAAAATCACTTGATTACAAAAAGAAAAAACTTTAATTATGGAGAAAAGGGACAGTAAGTTACAAGGCATTAATTGTCTCCAGAGGTGATACCCCAAGAAGGATAAAATATCATTCATATAAGATCCCATCCCAAAATACATAACTTAAATCTAATTATGAGGAATTAATTATAAGACAAATCCAAATAAAAATTTTGTGAAATAATCTCTATTCTAAACAATTTTTTAATGTCATGAAAGATAAGAAAGGCATGAAGCATTGTTAGAGATAGAGGGATATTTCATAGTGTTAATGAAGTCAAAACGGAAGATATCACAACCTTAAATCTGTATGTAACTTATAAAACAGTTTCAAAATATATAGGGCAAAAACTGACAAAATTGAAAGGGAGGTGAGTAAAATCCACAATTATAGTGCAATTTTTTAAAACCCATCTTTTATAACAGATGATGGCACAAAGAGAAAAAAAGTTGTAAAGATACAGAAGACCTGAACAGCACAATATAAAATTTTGAACTAAGTAATACAGAAAATATTGCACCCCCAAATGACAAAATTAATATTTCTTTTTAATTATCACTTTCCAAGTGTACACAGAACACTTAGCAACATAAATCATGACATGGGTGATAAATAAAGCCTCAAAAGATTTCATGAGATGGAAATAATTAAGAATATATTTTCTGGGGGCGGGAGGGGAGGGATTGGGGTCAAAATAAGGGGGTTGCAATTGTATGGGGAATATAAAAATAAAATTTATTATAACAAAAAAAGAATATATTTTCTGACCAGAGTTAAATTTAAGCTACATATCAGTTTGGTAGGCAGAATAATGTACTCCCTTATAACAATGTCCAAATTCTAACCTATGGAATCTATAAATATGGAAAAGGAGAATTAAGGTTACAAATGAGGCTGAGATAACTAATTTGCTGAATTTGTATATATGCCATGTAAATTTTTTTTATAAAAGTTATAAAATTATTCCCATTCTGCCTTACAAGTGTGCTAAATTATAAGAATATATAGACAGGGACTAAGAGAGAATATGGAGAAATAAAAGTCATTTTTAATTAAGTTTGTGGGCTATTTCTTTATTTGGCAAATTACTCTGTTTAATTTGACAACAAAGAACAATAAACAGTTTGGAGCAAACAATATAGAAAGACCAGGATTCTTACCTCTTTGTCTTGAATGTTAGGGTCTGCGTTATTTTCCATGAGTACTGCCATACAGTTGATATAACCCCCATAGGCAGCACACTGCAAAGGGGTTCTTCCTGCATAATCTTGCACATTTGGATTGATCTTATTTTCTATCAATATCTGGCAAACATCAGCATTTCCTCCCAGCGCTGCCCAGTGTAGAAGAGAATGTCCATCTTGGTCAACTAGATCTACCCTTGCTCCACCTGGAAAAGCAAAATTACAATCCAAATGTCTCATAAGAGAGAATTTATCAAAAAGAACAGACATGAACAAAATATTATGAAAGAATAAAAACAACAAAAAATGAGTCTGTTAAATGCTTTACGGCTAACAAAATGCTTCTACATTACATTAACTGCTTCAAATTTTTGCAATAAGCCTATAAATTGGTCAGGATAACAATAATTTGTCATTTACAGAAAATAAAACTGAGGATCAGACAGGTAGTAACTTTCCAAAATCCAACAACTACTAACAGGTGGTGCTAAGAGTGGACTTTGAGTTTCCTAACGCCCGGAAACTTCTTCACCCTTGTGTCCAGGTGGCTTTTGGCTATGTAAAGCTGTATTTTGAACAGGAGATGAGAATTCCAATCTTTTCAGAGTGACTTATAAAGACACCCTTAAAAACTAACCTTTAATAAGTGTCTGAATCACATCCTTGTGTCCCATCTCACAAGCTCGAAAAAGTGGTGTATGTTTCATGACATCAGTAGCATCTACTTGAGCATTATTTTCCAGTAATAACTTCACGGTGCTGACATGGCCAGAAAGGGCAGCAGCGTGCAAAGCTAAAAAGGAAACAAATTAAAGCTATGAACTCTTTAATAACAACTTTACCTTTTTATTATTCCAACTATGTATCTTCTTTTTCATTTGGCTTTGTGCAATTATTTGGCTTCATTTGGCTAAATGCAATTTAATCTTCAAGATTCTCTATTTTTCCGCTTTCACAGACATCTAGCTTCCTTTCTATTCTGATATATTGCTCATACTTTCCCCCTTCTACCTTTTGCATCTTGCTGTTTCCTTACTCGCCATGCTGTTGGTCTGCAATGGTCTCTTCTTAGTTACTAGTTTGTTATCTTTTCCTCTTTCTAAGAGACCAAGAGAACAAAAAAGTGACAAAGAGAAACAATTCACATGATGGTGGCAATTCTGCACTAATCCCCTCAATAAGCATATGCTCCCAAGGGGCCAGGTGATGAGCAGCATCAATCTACCGTTCCTTCAGCTGGACCTGTGCTCTTCCTGCAGTAGGTCTGCCTACCCAGGTGCACTGAAAGTGCAAGCACACATCTTACTGAACTGAGGGCATTTTTCATCATAGTGTCTCCAAAAGCAGGCCAGCTATTTCCTCAGGGTTCAATTTAAGAAATAGCGATTTGTTTCAACATTGGAGAAAATGCTGAGATGGAGTGTGGTCTCCTCTCTGGTGCCTTCCTTTGTGGTTTTAAAGAGTAATTTTGACTGTGAGTTTCATGGTATGCTGACCCCTATGGCCTATGTTAGTCCACTCTAGGGCTCCACTTATGCCATCAGTCTTTAGGTTTGAATTTGTCAAGATAACAGCTGAAAGACGTGGGTCAGTTTTTTTCAAAGTATTATGGCTCTATTTTAGACAAGTGTTTCTTTCATAAAGAGTGATTTATGAATCAAGCCTGGGATGCCTACAAACATGCAGATTCCTAGGGATTTGTGGAGAACCTACTATGGGCCACATGCAAATACAATTGCTGGGAATTCAGCAGGAGCAAAATGGAAAAAGTTATATCCTAATAGGGGATGCCAAATCAAAACATAAATAAAAAAAATACCCCAATCGATAAAAAAGAAAGTATTAGCTAGTGAAAGAATGGTATAAGAGAGCAATAAAAGGTATATTTAGAGTGACTGAGGGACTATTTCTGATTGGTAGTTAGGAAAAGCTGTGCTAAGGAGCTGACATTAAGTTGAGACCTGAATCATAAGGTCTCTACATTGCTGCAGAGATCTTATTTTTTTTTAAAAAGATTTATCTATTTATTTTTGCATACAAGAACTGGGGTACAAGCCAGAGGTTTGGAGGGTAAGAGGATCCACCAGAGACAGAGTAGGGAACAGAACAGGCAGATTGACTGAAATACACTGCTGAGGGGAGCAGTAGGCGAGCCAGGAGAGGTTTGCTGCACCATGTGGGTATCTCCCTGGCCAAGGATCGAACTTGTGCTGCAGTGGCCGTGGATAGCTTCATAGGTTGCGCCTTAACCCCTTGTGCCACCAGGGAGGCCCTGCTGTAGAGATCTTGAGAGAGAATAATTTGGATGAAAAAGAACAGTTAACATAAGGACAGCAATCAATTCATCTGTTTAAGGAAAGCCAGGAAGCTACACTACAATGAGTGAGTGAAGTATGTCAAGCAGGTAGAAAAGTTCAATCATAAATGGTCACACAGGTCAGAATGATGAAGGACACTATAGGGCTTCAGATAGATGAGTGATAATGTGGTCTATATTTTAAATAGATCGCTTTAGTTGTTCTGAGGAGAATTCACTACGGCAGATTAGAATATAAGCAAGGACACCAATTAATACTAATGCAACAGACTGAGTAAAAAGTGATGGTGCTCTGAGCTAGGGTGGCAGGAGTGGACAAGAAGAGAAGCAGAAAGATTTAGAATATATTTTAGAGGTGAACTCAACAGGACTTGCTGACAGGATGTGAAATAGGATCTCTGTTAGCATAGTAGAAGCTGCTTTTAAACAAACACCCTAATTCTTATGAGTACTGAAATTTGAGAACCCTGACTTAAATGACTGAATGTTCATTTGGCCCAGACAAGATTCAAATGGTGTGAGAAACTTCAGCTCTGAAGTGCTGTCATGTGGAAGAGAACACAGAATGGAACATTCAGCTTGACAAATTTTGACTCCGTATAAGGATGAACATTCTAAAAGAGTCAAGTTATGATGGATGTAGCAGGTTCCCAGTATTAGGGGTGGGTGTTCTGGGTTCAACCGGAGGCTGAAGAGCACTGTTGAGAATGTGATGATGTATTTGTGAAAGTTCAGTGATTTTTCACATTTTGAGAGTAGAAGAAAGCCTTTTTTCCCATCCCAAATGAAATTTTATGAAATACCCAACATGTAAAACAGGGAAGAGTTGAATGGCTATGGCTAAAGCAGGGGTGTAGGGTTTCCTGCCCCTTAGCAACACTTCAGGCACCTCTATAGAAGCCTGCTATTATGAAGAACATAGTTTGGAAAATCCTGGAGTAGATTTAATTTTAAGGTAATTTCTAATTCTGAAATTCTATAATTCTGTGGCATCAATATGCACTAAATATTCTTTAGAGACATATCCATGTCACGTTAAAAAAACAGACAAAATTTCATTTAAGTAAAAGATAGAATTAATAATCTCATTCAAGGAAGTAGTCCATTTCTGACTGCGTTTATTTTTTTATTTTTATTTATTTATTTTTTTAAATAGAGGCATGTTTTATTTATTTGTTTGTTTGTTTGTTTGTTTATACAAGCACTGGGTACAGTCAGAAGCGCGGCAGGGTGAGAGAATTCACCAGAGCCAGAGCAGGATGCAGAGCAGGCAGAAGGACCGAAGTACACTGCTGAGGGGAGCAGCGGGCGGCAGGAGAGGTCTGCGCGCGCCATGCGGGACCCTCCTCCGGTGGCCGGGGAGCAACCAGGGATGGAACCGGCGCTGCAGAGGCTGCGGGCAGCTTCGCAACCCAGCGCTCAAGCGCTGCGCCACCGGAGAGGCCCTGTTTGCATTTATTTTAATTTAAAATCACCTAAACTTAATTATTGTTGCTCCTTTGTTGAAAAGGTACAAGTTTCCATAGGAGCAATACATTTTTTAAAAATTTACTTTATGTTTTGGGACATTTCAACTATGTCCAAAAGTAAAGAAAATGAACTCAATATAGTCAGCTTCAACAAATATCAATACATGGCAAACCTTTTTTCATCTAACTGACTGCCATCCATTTCCCTTACTTCTGATTGTTTTGAAGAAAATTCTAGAGCCATATAATTTCACCTTTACATATTTTAGGAAGTATGTCTGAAAAACAAAGATTTTCCCTTTTTGCCCACAATCACTGTATCAGTCTAGGTTCAGTCAAGAGACAGCAATCATACCAGATACTTTAAAAGAGAATTCAAAATATATGAAAAAGCAAAAAGGGGAATACTAAGATATCACAGAGATAGTAAATGTAGAAGACAGCTGGCAATTCTAGGACTGAGGGAACTAAAAGAAGAGGAGGGAATTATTAATACTTAAATGCTTAGAAGAGCAACCCTATGGCACTGAAATTCAGACCTCTAAGGAGATGCTCAGCTTGGCTGGCACTGCAATCTCTGAGGAGGGTGCTCTGAGGTTGGTACTGTGAATGCTGGAATGACTACAAAGTGAAATTAACTGCTACCACTAGAACAAACTATCACTGCTGTGCTGAAGATTTACTAGGATGATACCAATAGGACCAGTAAACAAAAACAAGAAGAGTAAACAAATAGGAAGAAGTAGTCCCTTGTTTCTCTTCCACCTTTCCAGTCTTTACTGCCACCTATGGGCTGATTATAAGAGGGCACCTACTGGCAAAGGGGAAACGTGATTTGCAGAGTTCCAGCCTTGGCATTTCAAAAAGATTATCATAGCTAAATAATATTAACAAAAATTCTATAACAGAAATCACCCAGATGGTGTTCATATTTGCCTGATGGCGTTATACTTTTTTTATAGTTTATTTGTTTGAATCAAGATCCAAATCGTGTACATATATCGCTGCTGATAAGAAATCTTCTAATGGGAAGAGGAAAAAAAATCCCTGTAGAGGGATTATGGAGAAGAACTCACTTTCATAAAAGAGAAATGTCAGGAAGGCATCTCTGACATACAATAAAATCCCTTAGGAGAAAGAGCTCAGGGAATCAATGAATCTGAAAAGAATTTATGTTTGAATTCCAACTTGGTGCACATAAGAAAGACCCTTTATGTCAAAGGAATGCTTCAAGTATCTTTATGCATACTTTATTAAGATACATAACAAAATTAAACTAAATGCAAGTCCAGTGATAAAGTGAAAGATTGCATACTAATTGAAGTCTGACAACAAATAAAATGTTCAGACTGTTTATAACTCAATGTCCTATATGTCTGCACTACACCCCTTGAGAAGTTTAAGGTCTACTATGAAGTTTAGACAAAGCAATACTTTGGAAAGTTAAAGACTTTATCAAAATTGATATCACTTAAAAATTCCTTAAAAAATCATTTGGAAGGTGTGGTTGTTCAGGTATAGGGATGAAGAATATTAGGTACAACAGCTTTGTGCTCCAATTCTTCCCCTCCCCCCACCTCCTGTCCTGTGTGGCATTAATAGTTTTGGTGGACAAGAAAGACCTTATCCAGGACAACAGGTAGGTGTAAATAGCTCTAGTATATTTTTACGAATAAGCAAGCATAACATTGAGAAGCTCATAGCTGAGTTTTTATTTTATTCACTATTACTGTGCTATTCTATGCCTTTTCTTTCTTTTTTTGACTTGCAATTAGGATATAGTACACAGGAAGAGATTTCCAAGTTGGTAATGAATGCTAAAAATGTGTACCTCTCTTTTTAATCAATATGTAGTTAAAGGACTCTTACTAGTGAAAGAGTTTAAAAGAAGCATTTAGTAAGAAATTTTGATGCAAGCTGACTTGAAGCTTTGAAGTTTCTAGAAGCATGGGAGATAAGAATGAGGTAATGTTAACAAATCTGAGAAAAGAGCTACTGAATGAGCCCAGTGAGGACATACTTACATGTATGTATCCCTTAAATTTCAATTAATTAATAACTATGCTTAGTTTTAAAGTAGCAGTTTATGCTGTTTTACACAAAGAAAAATGATGAGTTTCCATAATCATGTCTAAGGAGCAACCAGAGTTTTAAACCTAATGCTACCATTCATTTGGTAGAAAGACAGTCTAATTTTAGCCATAACAATTAGAAGCAATAAAGTGTTTGGAGTGATATGATGGCAACTAAACTTAAAAACCAAAGATGAAAGTCAAATAATATTAGATTAGGGATAATGGTTTCTAGTTACTATTTTACAAATTTTATAGCACTATCGACACTTTGGAGTCTGAATGAAAACAAATTGAATATGTCTACCAGTTCTTACCTGTACCTCCATATTTGTCTGCCATGTTAATATCAATGTCAGATTTCAAACTCAGCATAGTCTTAAGGACATCATCACTGCCTTTCCCAGCAGCCCACATAAAGGATGTTCTTCCTTCAAGGTCTGAATCATCTTTTACTGAAGGATGCTTTAAAAACACTTTAACTGTTTCCTGACAAAACAACAACAACAACAACAACAAAACAACAACAAACACTTAAACACTTAAACATTTGAGACAACAAGGTAGCATTTTTTTAGGTAACACATCTAGTGTTATATGTGACTTCCACTAAGAAGTAAAATACTTTTCTGCAACTTTTGAATCAAATGAAAGGATCTTTTTATGAATAATGAAACTATACTTTCCATTTGAAGTAACCATTCCCTTTCCTTACTATTAGTTGAGTTTTTAAAACACTTCAGAAACATAATCTAACTCCCTCTTTCAACATCCTCATATTTGAGAATGATCACCCTCAATTAAGATTGAAAACTTAATTCTAAAACCGTTAGAAGGATGAAGTGATAGTTAAAAGACTCAGAAATGTTCAGTATCATACTCAACATTAAAATACAGGTTTTCTTGGACATGATACATGCAGAAACCTGTGTATTCAGGTGTGTTTACAGAATAACATTCGATATCTTTGGAAATATCAACAATTCATATTTTTTCTTTTTTAAATGCATGATACACACAATTATTTAATATTCAGAATGCATTCCATTTCTTGAATATCTACTCTATGCCAAGGACTATGCTAGGCACTTGTCATAAATTTTTTCTAATCCATACAACAGTCTTGAAAAGAAAAAGGTATAATTATCCTCATTTTATATACAATGAAACTAAGACTCAGAAAGATTAAAAAAACCTGTGCAAGGTCACATAGTAAACAGTACAGTCAAGATTCCAGTCAAGTGCCTGGTTTTCCAAAGCCTTGCCACATTGCCTTCAGCACAATTACAGATTGCTGAACACTAAGATAGCTTAGTGCTAGAAAAGTAACAAAAAGATTAAGTAGACTTATAGTAAAACAAAATATTACCCTGAATGTTAAGATAAAATCTGTATAAAACTTCACTTGTGATTAACAATTTTACAGAAACTCTAGAGTATCACTTGAATCACACAGTATGAACAACTGTTAAAAGATACTTGCTGCACAAACACCCACAATGAATACAGGTAAAACTGATGAAACTTGAGTAAGGGCAGTGAATTCTAGCAATGTCAATTTCCTGTGTATGATATTATATTATACTTTTGCAAGATCTTACCATGGTAAATTGGGTGAAGCATAGGATCTTATTGTTTTCTTACAATTGCATATGAATTTATGATTATACCAAATAAAAAATTAAACTGAAAAAAGATAATTGTTGAGCTTCACTTACGGCAAAGTTACTCTGAGCTGCGTAGTGTAAGGGTGTTGCTCCTTGGCTGTCAGATGGGATGGTTCCAGACTTATTCCTTTCTAAAAGGAGATGGACAATCTGCGCATGGCCTGAACACAAACACAGCAAGGTAGTTATTATATGCAAAAGATGTTAATTAAGTTATAATCTATTTACAGAAAAGGAATGAGAAAAATGTTTTTACTAGCACATAACGCAGCATTCAAAATATTTTCTGAATAGTAGCCCCCCAGGACAGCCTCTTCTCATTAAAATACTATGATAATATATAACAAAGGAAAAAACTTGCAACACCAAAACTGGTTGCCAGTTTTGTCAGGCATCAGTGGACCTAGTCTCAATGTTCCATTGTACAACCTATGGCCCCAAGCAGCACTACCCTGATTCTCTTTTGCCATTTAGGAGTATATACTATAATACAATCTCTTGTAGTCCTGAGGTATTTAATACATCCCTTCAAATTTCCTCTTCTCCTCCCACCCCAAGTCTTTTAATATACAGGCAATGATTTTAAATCTCAGAAAATAAGTGGGCAGAAATGATGAGGTGGTAGTTTAAGAAAAATACTTCAGTGCATTCTGGAGGGTGTGATCTACAGAAGTGAAGAACCACAGAAAAGATAAAAAAATGTGTTAAGGTAGTAACACTTTATTTGTTAAAAGATTTATTTATTTGTTTGTTTGTTTGTTTATACATACAAGCACTGGGTACAGTCAGAAGTGCGGGAGGGTGAGAGAATTCACCAGAGCCAGAGCGGGGAGCAGAGCAGGCAGAAGGACTGAAGTACACTGCTGAGGGGGGCAGTGGGCGGCAGGAGAGGTTTGCCCGCCACGTGGGACCAGCCTCCGGTGGCCGGGGAGCAGGCGTGGATCGAACCGGCGCCTCATAGGCTACGGGCAGCTTCGCAACCCAGCGCTCAACCGCTGCGCCACCGGGGAGGCCCAATACTATATTTAGGAAACCCAAATTTCATTGTGTAATCCTACCACCTACCACATTGGGGAACCAGGCAATGAAGAAGATGCCACATTAGCACAACAAGGATACACTGCATGAAAAGCAGGCTGAATAAAAAAATCTGAGTAGGAATTGTTCTTATAACACAAGTGGACAAAAGGAAAATCAAAGGCAATCTATGCTACATAGTCACTCTAAGCATGTCTCATCTTGTTTGAAAGGTAGAGAATAATTCAATAAAGGGTATATGAAAACATTATATAGGACAGGAAGAAAGGAACACCATCAGAAAGATGACGCTCATACCTTAGAAAATGATCTACAGAAAGATCCAGGGGAAAATTTCAGGAAACAGTTTGGCATCCTCAACTTAGTGCAAAGAGGTGGCCTCTATGAAATGAAACAGAATCTCCTAAGAAGAAAACAGACTGAAACAGAGGTAATAGAAGGTTAATAGGAAATAAGCTGAGATAAAAAAGAGATATGGATGAGAGACAGAAGTCAAAATACAATCTAAAATACCATCTGTAAGAGGCAGAAGGAAAGCAGAAATTACAGAACAAAAAGTCATTTTAGTGATATGGAGACAAATTTGTAAGTTCTTCCCAGAATGCTGAGGGAAAGGAAAAAGGGATGAAAAACTGTACCTTGAACTTAAATCTAAGCAGTAATTGTAAATCTAACTGTAAAACTCAATGCAAATATAAAAATCATTTTCAAAAGAAAATGTGTAATTTAAAAACTAAGTACAAAATAAGAACTGGGAAAAACCTCAGATTATAGTAAAAAATGCTAAAAGAATAGTAAGTTAAAATGTGCTAAATTTCTAGTATTAAAGAGATAGGAATCAATACATTAAGTTTTGCTCTTAATTCTTTTGATAAGTGTAAAAGTAAAACTAATAGTGGGCCTCCCTGGTTGTGCAGGTGGTTGAGTGCCACACTGTGAAGCTGTCCACAGCCTCTGCTGCACGGGTTCGATCCCGGCCCACTGGTGAGACTCCCACATGGCACAGGAGAACTCTCCTGCCTCGCCTGCTTCTCTCCTCAGCAGTGTATTTTGTCAGTCTGCCTGTTCTGTTCCCCGCTCTGTCTCTGGTGAGTCCTTTCACCCTCCTGCGCATCTGACCTATACCCTGAGTCTTGTATAAATAAATAAAAAAAATCTTTAAAAAAAGTAAAACTAATAGAACTTAAACATATTCCTGAAATATTAGGTGATCTAAAACCAAATAGCAGCAGACTTAATATGTACACCAAAAGGCAGAAAACAAAGGAAATGCGAACAATTAAGGAAAAAAAAAACCCCAATAATATTCTAGGAGAAGAAAAGAAGAAAGAAGAAATTATATATTTTATAATAATGAATATCAATGGTTAAAACTCCTTCACTATAAGAGACTCTCCGCTTATTCCTCCCAAGTCAGGGTTAAAAAAAAGTGATACCTAGAAGGTTAAGTAAAAGGCACATCAGGAAAATATGGAGAAAAAAATCAAATACTGTGGTATTGGCACAAACATAAAATTAAAGTTGCCCTCCCAAAAAGGAGATTAAATGTACAAATACATTTATATTTATCAATAAATACACATAAGTTTTATAATAAAAATTAAAAGTTAAGACATGACTTGAAATCAAAACTAATTTATAATGGAGAATACATTAATATTATGAAAATTCAAGCATACAATAGAGGACACTTGGGCATAAAATGCTACATATCAATTAAAAATAAATAGGAGGTGGGGGCTGACAGGGATAGAGAAGGCATGGGAAGTTTTCCACACTCATGCATTCCCTCCGACTGTCGATTCTTTGATTCATGTTCAACTCACCTAGTAAAGCTGCCCAGTGAAGTGGGGTTCGAAATAAGTTATCATAAGATGTTATATTGCAGCTTTCATAGGAGGTCAAGACATCAACCACCGTTACATTCCCATCAGCAACTGCAAAGTGAAGAGGGGTTCGACCCTCATAGTCTTGCCAATTCAGTAAAGACTCTGTTGGAGCAGCATCCTGTTTTCAAGGAACCAGACACTTCAGACACATGGAATCTTTAATAAACCACATCTGACATAAGTATTAAGTAAGCAATTTTCTAAGTCTCTATGTTTTCTCTCACCACAAGTATAATGAGAAGATTCAGGAAAAAAAAGTAGTCAAAATCCTCAAAAATGGATTTTTTTTGTATTTTTTTTATATGTTACATGTATTTTTATCTTTATAGCTTACACTTACTATTACTTATATTATTTATATTTTATACTTACTAAAAACAAGCATAAAACAAAGTCAGAGAGCGACAAATATAAATTCAGGAAAGTAGTCTGGGGGCCAGGAATGAGCATGGCTTGGGGAGAGAAAGCATTTGGAAAGTGGCATTTAGAAAACTTCTATGTGGTCTTATATAGTATTAAAATGTTTTTCTTGGGTGATGGGTTCACACGTTAGCTGTATTCTTTTGATGCATAAAATTTGTGTGAATGTGATATATGTCTATGCATATATTGGATATTTCATTAAAAAAAGGGTTTTTTGGAAAGGTCATCAGGAGCACCATCTTCCTCACCAGAATGCATCGCACTGTATGAACCGCACTAGGATCTTTGTGGTTGGCTGCCCAGTGAAGTGGGATCTTGCCTTCGACATCAGGAATCCCGATGTTGGAATCATGCTTGATAAGCAGCTTCACATGCTCAGGGTTATTGTAGTAGGCACTCCAATGCAGAGCTGTTTGCTATAAAATTGAGAGATTCTTCAAATAACAATAACAGTAATACACACAAGTTTTCTTCAAGTTTTTAGTGTGACAGACACTCTTGTAAAGGTTTTACATACGTTATAGCATGTAGTCTGATGACAACTTTGGGAGATCATCATTTATTAATTTGCATGTGACTGATGATGAAACTGAGTGCTAGCGGGATAAGTAATCTGTTCAAGGCTAGAAAGGTAGTAAGCAGCCCAAGTGAGATTTTAACCTGACTGACTCCAGAATCTGAACTCCTAATTATGGCAGCTGTCTAAGTGATCAGGTATTCAATTAATAAATGACAACACTGAAAAAGAGAAAAGAGTCCAATAATTTATGAATAATTACCAACAAAGTAAGTGGTGATAATGCACCAAATACCTTAAGGATTTGTTAGAATGCTCTGAATTTTAACATCTATCAAAAAGAAGATCTGTGCATAGGAACTCATAGATCTAGAACCTGTTTTTGTTTTATATCAAAGGATAAATTTAACTATAATTTCACAAGATAAATTGGTAGATCTAATTATTGTGAAAGATACATTTTGAAAATACAGTAACACTGATTTTATTTTAGATAAAAATTAAAAATGAACATCTGGCACTTGTTGACTTGGCTTTAAAATCCTTTCTGCTATTCTCAACATACCTCAGGAAGGTAACACAAAGACACTGTTCAGACATATGTTATCCCCTGTGCGTAGCACTGCCATCAAGCTTATCTAGAATTAGATTATTTAACAGCAGGAACCAATCACTTGTCACAGTAACAACTTTAATTATCAACATTTAAGTGGTATTCATTCAAAGTGTATCTATAGGTATTCATTACGAAGAGTTACTCTTTAATTCACCACTTTTTATTTGGTAATAAATTCAGTACAAAAAAATCACAAATAGCAATTAATCACTTATAATAACATTTTTAATAAACAACATATAACAGTTTCTATAACTCTTTCCCTGTGCTATATTTATTTTGAATATCATTATTGAAATGCAATATTATATCTGCAGAACTTAAAAGTACAAAGTTTAGGTTTGTATTTTCTACATCTTTATTTTTTATTTTTCTAGTAATTCTTTTTTATTTTACTGTAATAAGATGTATAGAACATAAAATTTACCATTCTAACAGTTTCTAAGTACATGTCAGTAGCATTAAGTACATTCTTTTGTTGTGCAACCAGCAGCAATAGCCATCCCTAGAACTTAGTCATCTTCCCAAATTGAACCTCCATATCCATTTAACAATAATTTCCAATTCCCACCTTCTACAACCCCTGGCAAACATCATTCTATTTACTATTTCACATATAACGTATATAACGTATAATATCCTAACAAATATTTCACACATAACATATAAGTGGCACCACATTTGTCCTTTTGTGTCTGACATTCCACTAAACGTATTGTCTTACCCAAGGATGTAAAAGTTCAACCACATTTTGGCATGCATCAGAATTTCATTCCTTTTAAAGGTTGAAAAGTATTCCATTGTATGCATAGACTGCATCTTGCTCATCCAGCTGTCAATGGGTATTTGGGTTGTTTCCATTTTTTGGCTATTGTAAATAATGCTGCTGTAAACATGGAGGTACAGATATGTTTGAATTCCTGATTACAGTTATTTTTGGTATATATCCAGAAGAAGAATAACTGCAATGATAATTCTATAATTTATTGAGGAATAGCCATTTTATATATTATTTTTTAAAAAAAGATTTATTTTATTTATACAAAAACCGGGGTACAGGCCAGATGTGGGAGGGTGAGAGGATTCACCAGAGACAGAGCAGGGAACAGAACAGTCAGACTGACGAAATACACTGCTGAGGGGAGCAGCGGGCGAGACAGGAGAGGTCTGCTCGCCATGTGGGTTGCTCCAAGGCTGGTGGGAATTGAACGGGAGCTGCAGAGGCTGCCGACAGCTTCACAGCACTGCGCTCAACCGCCTGCACCACCAGGGAGGCCCCCATTTTATATACTCTTTGGAGAAATGTCTATTAAAGTCATTTGCCCAATGTTAACTGGGTTTATTTTTTCTTCATTTTCAATGTATGTCATAAAATCACTGGCCCATTATAGCTATCATCCATTGAGCGCATACTATGTACTGGGCACTGTGCTAAACACTTTATATGTATCACCTCACACTATCCTCAACAATATATTATTCCCCCTTCACATAGGAGAAAAGTGAAGCATTGAGGAGTCACTGTAATTTGTCCAGGGACACAAAACAAATAAGTAGGGGCTTCTAAAGTGAAAGTCAGGAAGTCTGATGCCAAAGCCCATGCACTAAATCACTATGCACTCAGTACATAGCCTTGGGCATCTGGTCATTTGCCTAAATAATTTTAGTAAACATCATCACAACTGGCTGTCAAACTTTGGGTTTTAGAGTTAGACAGATCTAGGTTTCAAAATTTGATCCTGCCACTTGAATCTTAGGCAGAATTTTAATCTTTATGAAATTCAGTATCCCTAGCTGTAAAAAAAAAAAAAAAAAGACAGAACCCACCACAGATATGGCTGCTAGGAGAATAAATTGACATAATATATGTGAAATGTTTTACTGAGGTATATGGGGACTTGAAATTGCTCTGCTAGGCATGTGAGTGGTAATCAGGCCTTCTACCTTAAAGGTTCACATCATAAAAGAAGTATTTGCTTTTTCTTTTATTTGTTTTCTATTTTGATGGCCCATTACCTTGTTTTTATCCTGTGTATCCACTTCTCCTGGTGCCATGAACTTCAGCAAAAGTGCCAAACACTTGGGGGTCTTGTGCCGGGTGGTCAAGTGCAAAGGAGTCATCTCTTCCAGGTCTTTTTGCATCCAGTTTGCTCTACGTGTAAGTAGGAGTTTCATGAAACGATAATTCCCCTGAATGAAGAAACAAGAGAAGGTAAGAAATTTAGTTTGGGGCCAAATTTATTTTTTAGCTTTAAATATTTTAATTATTCTACTAGAGTAATAACATTTAGATGAATTAATAAAAGGAAAATACTTAAAACTCTACTATACTATCAGTTGTTTCATTTTTCATGTTTCCTTCCAACTACTTTATATATATATATAGTTTACACAGTGATTGATATTTCATTTGACTAAGGCAACATATTGTATTTATACATCTATTATTATTTCCAGTATTTCCTTTTATAGCACATGCTACACTGTACATTTTTTCCACATAGTTTTTTCTTTTTTTTTCATAAGAATAAATTATATGGAACCCAATTACTGGAATAAAGGAATACACATATTTATAGGTATTAGTGTATTTTCCAAATTGCTATCAAGTAGTAGTAAACTATGAATGTGTTAGTTTTAACTCATTTTTACAAATACAGCAAAAAGGCGGTTTATACTAGATGGGCAGAACTGGGATGGATTAAAAAGTAAACTGATGCAGGGCCTCCCCGGTGGCGCAGCGGTTGAGCACTGGGTTGCGAAGCTGCCCATGGCCTCTGCGGCACCAGTTCGATCCCCGGCTGCTCCCTGGCCACCAGAGGAGGGTCCCGCATGGCGCGCAGACCTTTCCTGCCGCCCACTGCTCCCCTCAGCAGTGTACTTCGGTCCTTCTGCCTGCTCTGCTCCCCGCTCTGGCTCTGGTGAATTCTCTTACCCTCCCGTGCTTTGACTGTACCCAGTGCTTGCATAAACAAATAAATAAATAAATCTTTAAAAAAAAAAAAAAAAGTAAACTGATGCAGCTTAATTATTTCTATAATTGAAAGGTTAAGGTTATTTCCTTAAGCACCCTAATAGAACTTATTTTGTTAACCTGTATTCTACTATCTGTTCATTTCTTTCATAGTACTTATCTCCATTTGCAGTTACATATATATGTTTCCCTTTACTGTGCTCTGCCTTACAAGATGTTATCATCATGGGGGCAGAGGCTAGTTTTATTGATCACTGTGTTGGCCTAGTTCCTGGCAGGAAAATAGGTACCAAATAAATATTACTTGAAGTATTGAGTTAATAAGAGGAAATGAAATATCTTCTAGAGTTTTTTTATTCAAAAATTATTATTTAGTGTTGCTATATCATAATAGTTAAGAATCTTAATTCTTAGATATCTGGTAGTTGGTTACTGTTACTTCTTTCAGTTTTATCGAGATATAATTGACATACATCATTGCATATGTATAAGGTATGCAGCATAATGGTCTGGCCCATATATATTGTAAAATGATTAATGCTTCACTCATAGTGTACATCATCTGGACTTTACATTTCATTCAATACCAGCGTTTGAGAAGGATGGTGCTAAAATTTCCTCAAGAGGGCACCCTGCTCTAAATCTCCTGCCAGGTTTCCTTTGAAAAAAGGAAAAGTGTCCAAGAAAAACAAATCTATGTGGTACTTGATATCAGAAAATAAGGTTTGACCTTTCGGAGTAAAACATTTCAAATATTACAGAATAATTCATCATGACCTTTTAAAAATATTCAATCAGACAATCATTTGGATTGTGAAATTTAGAGGAAAAGGGAAGGAGAAAAATGAAACATATACATCTTGGTAGATGTACTAGATATGTATGGGGAGAGTGACGACTGACTTACAGATAGAGCACTTAGCATATGTACCTTTTTCATTATTCTGGGGATTCTACCAACACAAAATAAGGTATGCCTCAGTAATAATGTTTATTTATTCATTCTTGAAAAACATTCATGGAACCTTGTTTTGAAGCAGGGAATAGTAAAACGTTTGTACTCATTACAATGCTCTTTGACATAGATTTCATCTTTGCTCCTCATGGAAAATTTTTATAGATTAAATTATCTTCTTATCCCTCTATTGCCTCAAACAATAGAGGAGGAGGCAGCAAGACATAGATGATTGAGTGGCAGCTAGAATGGCCCATGATAAGGGGCATGTAAGATTGAAAGGCTGGACTTTATACATATAATATAAAGTTCAGCTAGTAGTAAATTAAGGAGAGAACCAAAGGCAGGGACACAAACATATAGATGCTGATGCTTTCAGCTATGCTGTGAGGGATCAACTCCTTTCCGTCTAACCTGAAGTCTTTTGTCTACTGGCAGAATCCATGAAACCACTAGTAATGGACTAACTTTTTAGCTTTTTTGTAGAGTAAAATCAAACCTTAGATCTAGAAAATAATTCTCTATTATTACAATGTGAAATACAGTGTAAAAAGAAGTGAAAAATATGATTAGAGAGGCTAGAAAATGGAGAGCCTAATATATACAACATAAAGAGTCTAAATTTTATTGTGTAAGTAATGGGGATCAACAAAGAGTTTAGGATGGAAAAAACATGAGTGGATTTGTGTTTCTAGAAAATACTCTGGAGGCTATGTGAAGCATTTATTTAAAGGGAACAAATCTTCAGTCAGGAAGACCACTTAGGGGTTACTATAGCAATCTAGAATAGAAATACGTAGGGCTAAAAGGAAGAGGAGAACAGATTAATGAAATATATACGAGGACTCCTGAATGGGTACAAGAGAGAGAGAGATAACAAGATGAAAGGAAAAATGGGTTTGGGGGTGGAGATTTATGAGTTCTGATATGTCACATTTGGAGTTTGGGCCATCTTAAGGACATAGCGAGGTCTATAAGAAAGTGTGTGTGTGTGTGTATGTGTATATATATATATATACACATACACACACACACACATATATATCTGAAGTCTGGCAGAGAGAGTTAGATTCAAAATATAGGGTTATGAGTCATTTATATTAATATTACTTAATATTACTTCAATTGTTTTCTCCATACAATTTCTATATTCTAACTGATATATAAACATAATTTAAACATCCACCTAAATAGTACAATGCAATCTCATATATATATATATATATATTTTTTTTTTTTTTTATCTAGGTCATGAGCTCCCACTACCATATCAAATTTAGAGCATAAATGGCCTGAAAAGGAAAGCAGGTCATCTGCTTGGTTATTTTCTTGTCTCAAATGATTTAAGTATCTGATTGAACCCTGGTCTCTCAGTCCTTTATTTACCATGCATCTTTTTAGGAAAGCGAACAGTTACAAAAATCAAGTTTGTGAATGCCATGAATTCACTGAGCTATAGAAATGAAATTAAATCTGCATTTCTTTTCCTAATCATAGATATTCTATCTTCTCCCTTAAATTTCTATCAAGACTAATCCTGTATATTATAGCTAAAATTTCTAATTACTCAACAACTGCACTAACCTAACATTTTAAGCAAATCCTTAAAACTATTTTTAAAAACTATTTGACAATTCTCTAAGCAAAGGCTAATAATGGCACTTCAAAGACAGAACAGGAGCTTTATTTGTTATTTTCCAAGTTTAAGATGTTCATCCATCTGGCAGAGCAGCTAGACAATGCATCAGCCAAGAACATCTCTCTGGCTTGAAAATGATTCTGGCTCTCAAAAGAGGATTTGACTGAAGGAAAGGCAACATCTTTAGATGCTCTGTGGCTGAACTCTTGCCTCCTCCAAGCCTTGGCTCCATCCTCTAACATGGTTTCCATAGGAATAGACAGAGCTATCAAGTGGCATACAGTCAAACAGAAGGAAAAATGTTACTGTAAAAAAAAAAAAAAAAAAAAGAAGACGATGAAGACAGGCTTTTCTTTAAGAGAAGAACCTTGAAAAAGTGTTTTGACTCTGAGACTTTCTTACCCAAAGCCATAATTTTCATGTGTTTTTCTTACCTAATATAATTGATTTAATTTAGATTATTACAAAGATTAGTCCCTTCGGTAGAGAGCATTTCATACAAAAGCAAAGTATCAAAAATAGTTATAAAATGTGGTGATGCTTATTTCCACAAGTACAATCATATTGTGCTTGTGAGGGGCCTTCATTTATTTAGAGTGGAATTTAAAACTGGCACAACTTTTGGGGATGATGATAAGATGTATCTTGTTGCTCACAGTTGATATTTTATTTATAGGAAAACATTTGTTTATGTGAAACCAGTAGTTCCAAAACTCTAGCATGCATCAGGATCATCTGGAGCTGAAAACACAGACTGCTGAGGCCTCCCTTCGTTTTTCAATTACTAAGGTCTGCTGTAGGGTCCAAGAATTTGGATTTAAATAAGTTTCTGGCAGATGTTGTTGCTGCTGATCCAAGAATCCATACTTTGAGAACCACTGTTTAAACAAAGAGCCTAATTTCAGAGTTCTTAACTCTGAAGAGCTTAAAACAAACAAATAATAAAACCAGCAAAACAAAAGGGCAATGTCTGTTCCATTCCTGATCAATAAAATCAGAATTCTGGACCTTTGGAATGAATATTTCTTATAAGTTCTGTAGGTTATTTGAAAATGACACCAAGACTGATAATTACTGACTTATTTCAATCATTCATTCAGCAGCTAATAGTTATTTACTATGAAATTACTTTAGGGATTTGGAAGCTTAAAAACTAATTAAAATACAGATATATAGCCATATACAATAATATAGTACAAGCAAGGAGGGGAGGGGTAAGCACATAAAATGTAATAAAAATTACTACAGAGACAGGTGGGACAGAGGATGCACTTTCAGTCCTTTGTGAAGAAGGGAAGGGAGATCAGGAAAGACTCCATGAAAGTGACAGTTGAGCTGGATCTTGACTTGGGATCACCAATGCTTCAAGATCACTCTATCGCCTTCTTGTTCCTCTTCCCCATTTCTATGATATGGATAACTATACAAAGATAGTTTTTGGTCTTACAGCCACCTGTACTAATCAATTTGTCTCCATAAACTGCTCCTGTGCAGAAATTCTGAAGTCAACATTAGTTGTCATAAATCAAGTCTCTTGTATCTACTTAATACATGGTGGGTGCAATAATTCCCCATACTCCTCTGACTTTCACCATAATAGATAAGGAAGTCATTTGTAAAAG